ATGCGTGCAGAAACTGTGTAATCCATACATGACTGCAAAGCCTCATTTCAGATTATTGGTTTGTCATGCTCTCATTCCTAAGCTTGGAAGCTCTTGCTAGTTTGTGGCATCCATTACTAAAGTAGTCTGTTCCATATACTTACTTACTGTATTTATTTATTTACTTTGTGGTACTGGGGAATCAAGCTCAGGACCTTGTGCTTGCCAGGTAGGCGCTTATGTCACTGATCTGTCTCCCTGGCTCATTTACCATCCTTCCTATGTCCTGATATCCCCCCCCCCCGTATTTGTCACAGTATATAAATGTTTGTATGCTTAGTTTTTAAATTATTGCCTAGTAAATTTTATTCCCTGAGAGCGAAGATCATCTACATGATCTCTGGTGCCCAGGAACTAGCGGCAGCTCATGGACTCTGAGTTGCATGTACAAGTGCATAGAAAGGGACACTGGTGAATAGAAGTTGTGGAACTCTGAAGCTGAAGAACCCCAGAACTCACCTCCTTTACTCTTGTTTATAGAGGAGTAAGTGAAGGCCTAAGTAAATACTGTAGGCAGTTAGTGGAGAGCCAGGACGAAAATAAAAGTCCCCAAGCTCGCTTCAGCAGCACGTGTACTAAAATCTGATGTTCATGATACTCAAACAGAGCCATTTTGCCCCTAAGGGTTGTTTTATTTTTATGCTGTATTTTCTCATCATTTGGAAGGAAGGAGCCTTATTTTTCTGTTTTGTAAGTATCCAATGTCAGAAATATCAGTGCTATTTTAGAGAGCAAGCTGAGAGGATGTCAGATTCCGAGTCAGAAGGAGTTCGCACTCACATGGGATTTCTTATTTTAACCTTTAGTGCTTGGGGCTGGGTACTGCCATCATCAGCTGATAGTTCAGAAGAGGGATTCGACTTCCTGGGATCAGATAGTTGGGAAGTGTTAAGGATAAGATTTAAAACCAGAGTTCTTCAGTTCTTAACCAGAGCTGTTCCCTGTGCCAGAGGTGGTATATTTTTCTTCTAGTTTTGTTTTGTTTTTAATTGATAGAAGGGATAAAGCTATTTATGTTGCTTTATTTTGGTTTCAAATTTAAAGTTATGAGATTTACCTGAGGATAGGAACATAGTGATGTCTTCGCACTTATAGTCTGTAGCAAATACCTTCCTGTACCAGAGCCTTCCTGCTCCTATCTTTGTATCGCTAAGATATGCTTGGCAGATACTTGCTGGGACTTAAAGAGATGCATGTGTGCCAGGAAAGAAGCTTTTAGCTTTTTATTTTTTATTTTTATTTTTTGTATTTTAGGGAAGGGTCTACAGGGTGTTCAGGGTCTCACTATTAGATCAAACTTGCAGTAATTCTCCTGTTTACAACCTCCCAAGAGCTGGGATTATAGGCGCAGGCCACCAGCCCAGTCTCAGTTGCCTTCTCAGTGTGCCCTGGGGGTGGGGCCAGCACTAGTAGGCCTGGGGATTGGACCCCCAGCCCCTGCACCTGCTTGCACGTGCTTTAATCTCTCAGCTATTTGGCCAGCCCTAAGAAGCTTTTATTATTTATAGAAAAGATAGTATGTTAATGAACTTGAAAAAAAAAGGGGGGGTCAGGGAGATGGCTCAGTAGAATAAACGCTTCCCTGGCAAGCACAAGGGTCTGAGTTCAATCCCTGGTTTCGAAAAAAGAAAATGAACTTGAACCAACTACCCTAGTATTTCAAAACATGCTTGCCTTTATGAAGCCTTTGTTTTATTTGTCCTGTTTGTCTGAATGTTTTAGAATCCTAAGAAGCATATCTTTTGTGTGCCTTTTGCTACATTTTCTTTAAGGTGAATTAATTATAAATAATTAGAAGTATAGAAATTACATTTATAACATATGAACAGAAATTTTTTTCAATAAAAACTTTATCTCTCCAGTATTTTTTTTAAATGCATTTCACTATTTATTAGATGTTTAAGCTCTCACACTAAGTTTTTACAAGCTGTGAACACTAACAAATTATTTCTCCCACAGAATTGTAACCACATGGTATAAACTCAGACGGTAACACAGATGGCTGAACTAACATTAATACACATCACCATTTTATCAGTTACATCATGAAACAAATTGTGAAGTATCCAAATATTAAGTTACACAGCTCAAAAGGCATATAAAATATTAATGTCTGCTCAGTTCATTAGCAGAAACCCACTTTTCTTTTTTGCAAGAGGTTGGGAAGAGAAGGGAAAAAA